CCCCCCCCCCCCCGCACATTACATTTTGAATCTGAAACCGAGTAAGCATTTTCACAACGAATATAACAACCCCACAGACGAGAAGGGAAAGAACAGAGTACATAAGCGAGGGATAAAATTACTTTTATATAAAAATAGATCATTTTTCCAAGAGTCTTTTTGTTTTTGAAACTACGACGTTTTGCCGTATATGCAACAAAGAAAGCAGTGATTGTGTCACAAGCTCGGCTGTTCCTGATTACGCTTCTTTTATTTATTTATTTAAACAATTGCTAAGCAACATGTACAGTTAGGAGAGATTCAAGTTTGTTTTTTTTGTCCTCCTAATTTTTTGAGGTCACAGAAAACTGCTGAGAAGCTGGTTCTTATAAGTTCAGAGCTGATGCACGTCTGCTGGTTGATCAGGATTTGCTTTATAATGTTTACATTCCAACCACCCTATCACACACACATACACACACATACACGTCTATGTGTTTCATGGGGACACAACTTATTGTCATGACTTGCGGGGACCACACTTTCTAAAGGTTCTCTCTCACGCACACACACACCTCTGATACGTGTGAAAACCACCAATAAACTCCCCTGGGGTTGAACCACTTGGTTTGAAACTTATCCCTCTTTAAAACGTGGAAATAATCAAAGAACAGATCTGTTGATATACATATATATATATTTATAAATATATACACATATACATATTAACAAAATATAACTATGCTCTAAAGCATTTGTGTGTACGTAGATATTTTTTTAAAGGAGATCCATGTCTACTTCCTGCAGGTGTTGAACTCACATCATCAAAACCCTCTTATGGCTTTAGAGCAGGGCTATTCAACTGGCGGACCAGGGGCCAAATCAGGCCCACGGGTGAGCTCAGTTGGGCCCACCAATAGGTTCATTTTAAAATAAAACCAGATTTTAAACCGTAAAACAAACTTACGTAATGACAATAATTGCTGGATGTCCGGCCCCTTTGCTCTTGGCTTTCAGTAACTGTGGCCCCCTGAGCAATTTAGCTGAATAGCCCTGCTTTAGACACTTGTCACCAATCACAGTCAGCTGGAAAAGATGAAAGAGGATGATGTTTGGTTGCTTTAAAGGTACTCATTGCAAAGTGTGAAACAGTAAAAGTTTAGCCTGAACTATATCAAGTGGTGCAGTTGGAATAGGTTTACTTTTATGGATGTATTGAATGCAGTTCTGAAATGCTGGTACGTCGTCTGTGTCAACAAGGCGCTAGGTTAAATCCACTGAAAAGCACATGGAAGCTTGAGTTACGTGACTGATTGGCATTAGGCTGCTTGAAGTTTGTGTAACTAAACAAACATGGTAGAACTGGATAATCGTAAGTGAATGTTTCACCAATTTTCAGCTACTTTGGACCGATAAGGAACATGTGGTAGTTGGTGTCTGGTCATAAACGTTCCTAACTTGTATTTTCAAGGACATATTAATATAAAAAAATATATATGTAATGCTGTAATGTAACTTCTTACTTTGTGAATCTTTCTGTTTGGTCTTCATGTCTTTGCAGTGAGTACCTTTAATATCAGCTGTTCTTGATCGAATCGTCCTCGAAAACAAAGACGTACTCGTCTGCTCTTGCAGAATCGATTCAGGAGCGAACATTTAAAAAACTTTTTCTTTTTTCGCAAAGAGAAATATACAATCTCCCCCAAACAGAAACACTGTAAACAGGGTTCAAGCTGGCAGTTAATACTGTCACCTGGATAAGTTGTAGGAAAACAGACCACCTCTTACAAATTCTGTAAGTTAAACAAGAAGCCAAATGGATCCGGTCAGAGTTATTGCTACTTTTCTCATCTTAAACAACAAGAGGAAAGGTGTTCCAAAGTGCCATCTGTGTCTGATTAAATTCAAGTTATGTTGCAGTGCTGCAAATTGTCCACCAGAGGGAGCCCACAGCACAAACAACCACACCCCTCACTCAATTTCTTTTCCAAAACTTGTTTTCTTTCACCTGACATAAACCGAAGAGTACAGCATGAGGTTTGCATCACAGCTGACATTTCAGAGCCGGCTTATCCACACCGAGGTGATCACTGGAGTGGGGGAGGGGGGGGCAAATTCACCAGGTAGAATGGCATTTATGACATTTCTTGTAGACGCTCCTCTCAAGAACGAGCCTTAAACACTGGCACGTGTTTGTTATCACTGGGGTTTTTGGTCCGAGTTAGAATCTTCAAGGTGCTACAAGGATTAATCCAAATGTATTGATTTAAAGAAAAGCATAAATAACAATCAAAGGAGCTGCAACAGAAAAAAAAACAATTGAGTTTTTTTTCCAATATCAGATTTAAGATTTGTAATGTGATAAATGTCAAAATCAGGAACTTATTGGGCTTTTAGGTGAGCAAAAGTCTGATCAGAACTTGCAAAATGTGAAAGTTATATTGGAGGCTGAAATCTTCAGACAACTTAAGTCAGAATGTCGACCAGTGTTGGGAAAACATGCTTATTTTTGAAGCCTCTGTCTGTTGGATTGTAATCTGGCTTTCTAAAGCCTTAGACATAAGAAGAAAAAAACACAGTAACAATTATTGTTGCTACTTTGAGGGATTAAAGTCCAGATTACAAAACTGTCCATCATAAAAGAGGCTGAGGCTGAACGTAGAAACTTTTGAAGATGCAAAACTAATTTTAAGTTCACTAGTTGTTGATAAAATTTACAGATGTTTTTTTTTTTTCTTGATGTAGAATACATCTCCCATCAGTGTGTTTACAATTAAAGCATCGAGACTCCACGTGATCACTAAAACTGGATAAAATGCCTTCATTTGTCAAAGAGTAATTAAAACTGTGCTCAGGCTGTTTGTTTTTGGGTTTCTCTGGTTCTGAGTGTTGCCGTGCTTGTCAAAGTGCACTGATCGAGGGGAAAACTTTCTCAATTAATAATCTGTTAAAATTACTATACAAATGTACTTCAGTTCTGCTAAAAGCCACTAAGACGCTGATGTTTTAGCCAAGGAAGAGGATGAAAATTAAATATGTGAACAACATGGACGCCCACCTCACAAACACATCACGCCTGACGAAGCTGCTCTGTGGACAATCTTTGGAAATGCGCTCGATGCATAGGGTTCGAAGCAGCTGCAGCATTTAGAGAGAACAGAATATACACATAAAACGCACCTATACACAAAAGATCTGAAACGGTTCAGTTCAACACGAATGACACTTGGTAGTCCAGAGAAGTGCACAAAGAGTTCCTGTGAGGAGGAAAAGAAACAGAAGCGTTCGTAAAACAACAACAACAACAAAAAAACTCCACCTCGGAGGTCAATCGCATCCAATCTGATTCCACGGACATGAGGTTAAGTGCCAAAAAAACAAATAATGTGGCTCTGCTGCAACAAAACAAAGCGCTTCTCCTGCATTCTGTTCATGGATGAAGCCTAAATGAGTGTTGGAGTCGGAGGTATTTGTGCAGTGCTGCCTTTAGAGTGAAATAATTTCAATACTGCGTTGCGGCTGTAGCTTTTTAAACAGGTAGTCATGAGGCGTTTGTGGAAAGGATGTGTTAAAACTGCCATGGAAATCGAGGCAGGGGAGGGCACAAGTCTAAGACATTTCCTCTCATTTGTAATTGAGTCACTTTTCCAGCAAGTCATGGTGAGTTTTAGCTCAACAGAATCTCCCAGAGCATCCGATGGCGCTCGTGTAGCATGAAGCTAATTCAGGTCAGTTTGCGGGCACAGTTAACGTAGATTGTACACAACAGGCTGCTCCAACTTGAGCGTTGATTGGTGGACCGATGAGACGTCGTCCCCTGACGCTGCACAGTGTTAATACAGTAAGACGTGGTCGGGTTGGTTGGAATTGGCCGGAGACCTGAGGTTTGTGAGAACTTGCAAATCTTCTGAAGCAACCTTTGAGTTCGACACCGGCAAGCTCACTCTCAAATACACTAAACAAAAAAAAAAAAAACAGAAAAACAGCTAGTGCAAAATCTGACATGTTTTAGTCAGACCGAGTAGACACAATTCGTTTAGGAAATTACTTTTTTCTTTTCCCCACACTTTATCGGTTCCTGATAAAGCAGGTTCAAGTCCAAACAGCCCCGAGGTTCCAAAGAGTCTACGATTGTCCTGTTTGTGACATCATTGCAGTTTTTGGTGTACGAGGCTTCACTGAGGGCGTTGAAACCTGATCATCCCTGCATTTTGCTTGGAGGAGAGGGGGGTCAGGAAAAGCAAGGACAAGAACGGCGTCTCATTAGGTGTCGTCCTTCTTCTAGACACCTGTTGTCACTCAAGCCGCTGTTGTCTGATTTATATATGTGTTTTTATACAAAACTTCTTATTTATATATTTTTACAAAGTATAAATGAGACCCATGAGCATCATGAGTTTCTTCTTTTAAAACTCATCAAATAAAGTTGAGAAAGGGAAAGATTCATCCAGAGTCTTAATCTGTCCTCGGTCCGGGTAATGAGGGAGGGAGGGATCTGGTGGACAGGAAGGAAGCTGGATGGGTGGTGGCCAGGCGGGATTTAGGAGGATTTACTGCTATTGTGTCATTTGATGAGGGGCTTCTAGCATCTCCATGAGGAAGGTGTCGATGGGCGTGTCACCGATCAGCTTGAAGAAGAACAGGTGCTCCAGACACTTGAGTCCGATGGAGCGCAGTGCTGGTAACCGGAGCAACAGCTTGGCAAACCTATTTAGACACAACACCAAAAAAAATAAAAAAATAAAATAAAAATCCTTTATATGAGCAGCACACAGTAAAGATGTACTGTAGCGTGTGGTTTTAAAACGCACCTGCCCGGCTGTTCAGGGTATTTCTGTTTGCAGTAGGCCTCTAAAGACGCGTAGACCTTTTCTCTCAGGGCCTCCACTTCACCTGGGTTGGACAAACCTTTAGAATCTGCACAGAAACACGAGGAAACTCCCATAAACACGTCTTTTATCAGGCTTTACATTTCTGTTCTTATTTCCATTGTTTTATAACACAATACCGTAGTACCTAATTTAAAAACTGCAAAGTAGGGATAGTAGTATAAGTAGTAAGCAGTAGTTTATTTTAATATTTTACATATATATATATATAGCTGATCAGCTGCAGGAGGAAGCTTATCCTGCAGTGTGGGCTGCACAAATGTGCAACAGGTGCTAAATAATTTAAAATAATTTATTTTAAATAAAAAATCCATGCTGATCATGCGGCTCATCCATCAATCAGCTAATTGTGTGTCATCTCCAATCTTATTTTGAAAAACCGCAATAGAGCGCGTCTGCGATAAACAAAGAGCGAAGTAGCGGGGGACTACTGTAGTTCTGTTTTATGTGCTCTCCTGTCCTCTGTCCAAATTCATCAATCACAACATTTTAGGAAGAAACAGAAGATTAAAGCAATCAAAGCTGTAAAACTGGACTAGACAGGCACAAACTATTTAAACCAGAATAACAACAGGTTAAATCAGGTCATCTGGACCAGTTTCTTTAATTGACAAATGTTCCGTCTCCCATCCAGAGGACTTCTTCAGTCTAAGGACTGCCAACCAGATCTGTCCCATAGGTAGCCTTCACTGCTGTGTTTCAAGCATATTTTAACCAGAGAAATTACATTTCCTTGGAAAATGCAGTGTGAATGCTTATTGCTGAAGAATTTGCTGAAAAACAGCTGAAATTAGCTAAAAACATGCAGAAATGTAGCTGAAATTGAAGGACACGCCTAAATTAGAAGAAGAAAGGAGAAAAACCACATATTTGCTGAAGTAGGTTCAAAGAAGCAGAAAAGAGCACATAAATTAGTAAATTAGCTAAAAAAATGCTGAAATTCGTGCAACACCCCCCCCCCACCAAAAACAAAAAAAAACAAAAAAACAACAACAACCAACAACAACAACAACAACGAAAGCTGAAAAGTAGCAAAAAATCAGAAAGGAACTTGAATTACCAGCAGGAAAACGGGAGAGCACAATTTTGCTCAATTAGGCTGAACAAAGCTGAAATTATTGCAAACAATGTGGCTGTAGCTGAAAAAGCTAAAATTAGCTTAAAAACAGCTAAATAGCTGTTGAAATAGCAGGAAAAAGTTGTAACCTGCTTAAATCAGCTGAAAGGAGCACAAGAAGCTGAACTTAACAGAAATAAATTACAAGTACAAAAATGTTGTAGTTATTAGAAAGAAACTGAAAGGAGCACAAAACAGCTGAATTTAGCTGAAAGTAGCTGAAAAAGTTTAAATTTGCACAAGGAAGCTGAAAGAAGCTGAACCAGAACAAAATGTGAAAGGAGCAGTAAAAGATTGTGAACAGATCTAAAGATATGAAGGATGTAAAATGAGCTCAATTCCTTTTCTATGAGAAAAAAGTGGCAGAAAAGGCTAAATATTTCAAAAAGCTAAAGTTGCACCAATACCAAAAGTCATAGCAGGATTGTTGTGAAAAAACTGAATGTTTTGATTTATGATTTGTTGAAATAGCACAAAAAACGTAGAACGAGAACGATGCCGGAAAACCTACAGAAGAAAAATGGATCATAGTGTGAATGCTTCATAAACATTCAGACCATTAGTAAAGGCTGTTAATACAAAATCAGCTTGTATTTGTCTTTGCCTTTTTTCAGGCTGATGCCAGCAAAATGTTTTACAAAAATAAGTTACAAAAGTCTACAACAGAGGACTCCTGGTGAAATATTTCACAATTAGCTATGGTAATTTTTTCACTCTTTAAATATTAAATATTTTTCAGAATAAGTGACATGTATAATGGGTCTTCATAATATTAGTTACATAACAAGTTATGCAATTCCTCAGTCATATCCATATGTTGTCGGTTAACTAAATTAAAAGCATCAGTAAACACATTGATCCAGTTTGTTGACTTCTTTCATGTTCTTTTGAATGTCTTTATTGTCATTGCACCTGCAGTACCAATTAATTAAAATGCCAGCCCATTGTGGTAGGAACAAAACAAGAATGACTTAAATCAAGCGTAAGGAAAAAAAAAAAGTTTCAGATTTAGAAATTAAGTTTTAACCCTGCACGCTCTAAACAAACGTTTGTCGCCGCTTTCCGGTTGAATCCAATTAAGGCTGCCATTTTTAAAGCTGCGCTAATTTCAGCTCCAGCGAGGAACTCATCTTTGAATCACAACACAGAACTTCATTAATTAACATTGCTGGTCAACGAAGCATCGGCCGAGGATGAATGAACATTTGTTGTCGACAGCCCAACTGGATGAGATAGGCCAGTGTGGGAAAGAAATGACCAAAGGGCCCTTTTTAGCCTCAATGAAGCCCCCTTTCCTCCGGTACTCCCACCCTCACAGGCCTTTGCTCCTTCAGTTAGACCTGTCTTGCACAGAGCTAATTAACAGATACATGTATCAAGCAAGAGACTGAAGCAGGATTAGAGGGCCGGGACATGGCCTGAACTAAAATGTAGAACACAGAGGACCAGCGTGTCTGGCATGAGCAGTCCTACGGTGGCCCCAAAGGGACAGAGGCTCCAAGGTGCATCTAAAAAAATAACAATATCAAGAAAAAGTTTGAATTTTTTTGTCATTCATTTCAGAAATTGAAAATGAAATATTATATAGATTCATTACACAGAGTGAAATACTTGAAATATATAAATTTGTCATCTGCATATGTCCTCTGCAAGTGCTGGTCCACTGGGATTTCTGAAGTCCACAGTCCACACAGCATCTACCAGGACATTTTAGAGCACTTCATGCTTCCTTCTGCTGATGAGCTTTATGGAGATGCTGATTTAATTTCCCAGCAGGACTTGGCTCCTGCCTACTCTGCCGAAAGTACCAGAAGCTGGCTGGAATACTCTAATTCTCTGGGACACTGAATTTAAGGTTAATCTTCAAAATTACAAGAAATAAAAGCTTGAAATATTTCACTCCATGTGTAATGAATCTAATATATGAGTTTCACGTTCAGAAATGATTGATAAAAAAAGCACTTTTTCATGATATTTTTGGAGATGCACCTGGGTCACATTTCTGAGCAGCTGCAACTATAAACAGCATGGTGACAAGATGGTCTTAAAATGGACTCAAACTTGCAGGGACGTTATATTAAAAATACTCTAAACATAAAAAAAGCACTGTTTTTTGGGACAATTTTTGTTTTTTAAGGAAAATATGCATTTGAGAGATTCTGAATAAGTTAATTACCAACTATATTATTAGCATTCATTCATTCATTCAACCTTTATTTAGACTCAGTTTGCACCTGCAACTTGTTGCAATAGGAACACTGTACACACTGATATTGGGATACCAATAAATTTGGATAAATTGTGAGGCTCTAAAAGTTATGAGCTTCTAGAAGTGACAAGAGGTCCAAGGACTTTAAAAAAAGTCCTCATGTCGGCATCACATACAGGAACAAAACTCCTCAGCAGCTGGGATCTGGCAAGTAATGCTGAGAAAAAGGTTTGAGAGTTGGAACATCTGGAGTTATTGAAATTACTAATTTTTTTTTTATAGTAACCAATAAATGAATCAATTTTTATGCATTTCCAGATAAACAATATTGTACATTTCTGCTTAATGTGATTTACCTTGAAATTCACCAGGTACCTGTAAATATTCTCAAAACCTTTTCAGAAAAAGGTCTTTAAGCTGCTTATTTTTTTATTTATTTCAGTTTTACTTTATATGCTTTACAACCTGTTTTCAGTTCAAAATATTTTTTTCTTTGTTAATGCATTAAAAAAATGAAGATATGAATTATTCAGCCATAAAAAACATAACTAAAGGGATGAACCAGTGTTCTGTCTGTATGTAATAAATTAGCCAAAAACATCAATTATAGAGGGATGGATTTCAGCTTGTTTATGTCTATTGTTGCAAAAATATAACCAGTTGCTATGCCTTAAATTTGTTCAACAAAAATGTGCATTTTTGAACCAACAATGTATTTTTCAAAAAACACGAAGCCAAAAGACTTTTCTCAGAATGTTGTGCTGTGGGTCCCAAAACCATTTTGGAAAGTGAGGAACATAAGAAGTGTTTGGAATAAAAATAAAAATAAACTATCCCCAATACATCAACAATGACTAATAAGATCTGAGAGTTGCATCATACAGAAGTCAATCCAAGTAAATGTCAATTTTTATTTTATGTTTTAGCCAATAGCTCTTTAGGAATTTATTGGTGCAAACAGTTTTAACTTTAAACTCTTCTTTTAGTATCAGAACACACAGGAATTGATTTATTGTTTTCTTTCTGTTGGTTCATCCTTTGAGTTAGGTGATATTTTATGCCTGCATGATTAACTGGACATTAAAAGGAAAATTAAACAGTTTTCTTTTTACGCTTTGATACAAAAACTAGAATAAAATTGAGTAAAAAAACAAACAAACACTGAAAGTCAGTCAGAAAGCCTAGAGATATATTGCTCACTACAAGTTTAAAATATTATAAGAATGTCTAACTTGTTTGAGGCAAAATAAAAAGAAATGAAGGCCAGTGCAAACATGTTGCACGATACAGCATGAATGAACGCTCTGTTATCTGCGGTGTTTTTACGCTTTCTTCTAAAACTCCGTCTTAGTAAAACTTCTGCTGCAAGTGAAGTCTGACATGTTCAGATTGTTACCTGGGTTGAAAAGAACGATGGCTCGAAGGCACCCCAGTTCAGTCTTGTCCATCTGCATGTCTCTCATCTTTGACACCAGTTCTGTGAGCACTCTGCAAAAGAAAAGAAAGTAAAAAAAAAAAAAGTCAGATCCGTGGTTCATTCAAGACCAGGACACCACCATAGTTTATTTCTTGGTTACTGCGTTATGTCAGACAAACAAACAACTGCCAGAATCACTAAGATCACATAAAACCACTCCAGTCAAATCAGTATGTGTTTCTGTTTGCCGATGACTCACTGCTCTTCATGTTAATTATCCCGACTGGTTTCATAAAAATATGATTTTTTTAACCGCTGTCCAGCTCACATGTATTTAAAAATAACTGCACACAAACATACTGTGAACCCACACGTGCACGGTTAGATCAGTGGAAAAGTTTACAACCCTGCAAAGTAATTATATTTAGTTTGTGGCTTTCATAAAAGGAAAGCCGCAGAGTAAACACACGCTGCGATCCAACACCAGAGCTCCCACTGTCTGAGCGTGACATCACAGGTGGGAGCCGCTCGAACTCCTCACCCCTCTCCGACTGGATCGTGTTATTTTCTCCCTTTTCTTTTTGGCCCTCAAACTGTAAAGTCTATTGTATCTCATTCTAATGAAATTTGTTTCAAGGAGGAGGAGGAACAGAACGAAAAGAGAGAAGATGGGACTCAAATGTGTGTTAATCAGTCTCTTCATTTGTATGGGGGAGAGAGGGAAAGGAGTAGATAAGCAAATAATCAGTTCTCTGTATCTTAATGCAGATCTGAGTGTGTCCTGTGGCGGCGAAGCGTCAGAGGCTGCTGATCAGATGGGCAGAGGCCCAGCAGGTCTGTTGACAGCAGCTGCTGATTCTCTGCTGGCCTGCAGATCCTGCAGGGCCGCCAACAGGACACGTTCAATATTCATTTCTTTTATACATTATGCACAAAAGAATTACTGATGAATTGTATGGATGATTAAAATCGGAGATGCTAAATGGGATGTTTGCCGATTGTTTTTCCACAATCTGTCTGGAACCAGCCAAGAAGACATGATTTTCCATTTTGTACTTTTTATTTTTTTACAAAATGGAACTGATCTGTAGGATTCTGAGCTTTTTCTCCTCTAAACCGTCTTTGGCAGCGATGGAAAGCTCAAGGTTTCAATAATAATTCTACAAGCTTGAGATGGTATCTCACGGGGCTGCAGCTGCAGGTACTGTTGAAGATTCGCGAATGTCTCCAGAGCGTCTCGTGGCATTCATAAGGGTTCACAAATGCCTCGCCTTAGTCACCAAGGTTTGCAGCCCTGTCGCATAAGCGGTACGCCAATGTCAATCATCGCTCAAGGGTTTGAATAGAGAATTAGGGCTGGGCCATAACATATTGTTCACGATAATACCGGTAAAAAGGAAAAGTTGCCCAGGAAAATAAATTATATCATGATATGCTAATTTCATGGCATAAATATGTCAG